TATATATATATATATATATAAGCACAGATGTTTAAAAGATAAAAAAATAAAGAAATAAAAACTTTTGTAAAATATGAACTGAACATTAGGTATTGGAATAACAAAAAATGTTAATTAAAAAATAGCAATGACGTATGCACAGTATATACTGTACAAATTGAAATAAATAAATAAATATTGCTCAAAAGCAAACTCTGCTACGCTTTTAGTCAGGAAAGGAAAAGCAGAAACAGAAAACATGTCGTCAGGAGAAATAAAACAGCTCCTTTCACTGAGAAATGTAAAACACCATGTACCCTTGATTTCTGGATATGAAGTGTCTTTTTTTTTTTTTGCACCCAGCCTTAAAATGTACTGAGCTCCTTGGAGGAAAAGTAAGATAGTAGGTATGTTTGATAATAATTACAATGTTCATGTTCTACTAAAGTATCAAAAAAGTAAATTCAAAAAGTATCTAGAATTGCACTTGAAAAAAAAAACAATCCTGCTTGCTCCTCTAAGATGGATTTTGAGGAACAAATGATAATGTGAGCTCTCAAAAACAATTGCAACTAAATATTATAATAGCTTTACATGAAGAATAACAATGGATGCATCAAATATTCTGTACATTCAGGCTGYGGTAAATCTAAGCCTGGAGCGATGAAGCCACATTAAGATTTTAAAAGGCTGCAATATGAAACCTTGCTCCTTCTTCCACCTTTCCTCTTTCCCTTATCTCCCTTTACTCTGTTTCCCTGGAGCAGTTTGCCTGCTTCTATAGATGTGAGATCAAGTGGAACCACAATTACAGCAACTTCTTTTTTTTTTTGCAAGGCTGTTGCTTGGGATTGGGGAGGACCAGAAAGGGAAAGAGCAGATTGAGAGTATCCAACAACTCTGGAGATGCATGTTTCTTAAAACAGTTCACTATCTTTCAACCTTCTAAAGGAGAAGAAACTCAAACTTTAATATACAGGGAACTGAACTTTTACTGATGTCAGCCATGTTTGAAGGCAAATGGCTGCACGGGTGTCCACCGAGACACATTTACAGAACACTCACTAACACACTGGACTGAAGCAAAGAGGCAGGAACAAAATCCAGGACTACCAGCAGTGAGTATTTTCTTGCAATCTAAAGGTTTTGTGTGTTGTYTGCTGCTTGGAATTCTAGTTTCTTGAATTAAAGGTTTTGCATTCCTTAAAAGAATACTGCCCACTGCCTTTCAGGTCAGAGTTTTAAATTAGGATCATCTCATGAAAGAATGAACAAAACTGTAGATGCTTTAGCACCTTTTTATGGGGTGCCAAGTGTAAAATGAAATGTTAGAAATTCTCACTAACATAATTTTCATCATTAAGCTCACTTTTTGAGTGTTAAAAATGTTCCACTAACCTTTTATTGTTATTTAGCTCACTGTTCTTAATAATTCTTTTTACTAAATGTTAAAGTTAAATAATAAAAAAATATATATGGACAAAATTGTGGGTACACCTTGTTTAATGAAAGAAAACCCCACATTGATCATAGAAATAACTTGAATCTGACAAAAGTAATAATAAATAAAAAATATATATGAAAGTGAACAAACGAAAGTCAGACATTGCTTTTCGACCATGCTTCAACAGAATAAAAAAATAAAAATAAAAACTCATGAAACAAGCCTGGACAGAAATGATGGTACCCCTGAAAATAATGTGACCAAAGGGACATGCTAAATCAAGGTGTGTCCACTAATTAGCATAATAAATTAAATTAGCATTAAAAAATAAAAGCTATTTACTGTACTGTTCAGTTCAGATAGTTGCCTAATTTAAAGGTTTGAACATTTATCAAGAAAGCCGAGATGGGTTAAGAGTATAAATCCGAATTTGTCCTCTTGTATTTTGCCAACGGCATCTTAACCATACAAGTTAAAGAAGAAAATTCCTCAATACAGCAGAAACAGCCAATTACCAGAGCTGACATGCAATTCTGCTGCGCCTGTGAAATATGAGGCCTTACACATGATGATCTGACACCCTCACGGGAGATGCACAAGGAGAAGCAGGAGGAGGAAAAGGGAGGACAGCAGGAGGATTTATCTCTCCCTGCAGATGCACAGAGTCCTCCTTGGACTCCCAGTCAGCAGCTAGGACAGTTTACAAGCCACCAAATGGATTGATTGTCCATGGATCCCTGTCCCTGTGTGCTTGCCAACTCTTAGCTAATTAAAGAATACTTCTCTTGAGAAACACTGGGCAGCAACCAAGCACATCCTATTTACTCTTGAGAAAATGTGCCATTTAAATACTGCTGGGTTAAAAAAAAAAAGCTACTGAACTCTTTATTAAAAAATAGCTTGAGATTCACAGAGCTTTTAAAAAAATGTCTGCATTCTTTGATAACATGCAAATACACTAGCAGACAGTAAATTAAGAAATACAGGGCATAATTTGCATGAAAGAAACAGTCTCAAAACTAGTGTATCAGTGGAATGTCCTTCGCATTTTACAATCAAATGAACTAGGTACTGAAACATTTCACTCAGCTTGCTAGTCGTGCTAAATAAAAAGTCAGATAATCAGAGGAACGTCTGACATCCATGCTGTCTGTATTGAATCCCAGGGCGACCTTTCAGTCTGAATGAAAACAATTGATGAAGCACCAAAAACTGCAGTGGGGTTCAGCCATCAGGGGCTCTAAAAATATGAATGGCAGTGATTATATTTCATGTTTCTCTGTGTGTGTGTCCTAGCATATGCTACACTGCAAGGCCCATTTTTTCCAAAATATAATACTTTGTGGGGACCCACCTTTCCGTATGGGGCCCAAAGGCTGCTTTTGGGCGAGGGGTCAGGTCTAAGATGTGAACTGAGGGGTGGTTAGATTTAGGGTAAGGGTCATGATGAGGCTATGGCAATGAATGAAAAATTAATACAAGTCAATGCAATGTCCCCAAGAAGATAGAAAGACATGATTGGGTGTGTCCATGTGCATGTGTGTCTGGCTGTTAGCAAAATCAGCTGTGAACCACCGAATGATATTTAATGAAATTTGAAAAAAAAAAAAAAAGAATAATTGTACATCCGAGAGGAAGGTGATTAAACCAAAACAAAGCCTAAACTCCTTCACTGGCAAAAGCTACACCATAATCGAATGTTTTTCTGCATTTTTGTTTTTCTTTCTTTTCTGTCATTCTGATAAAAAAAAAAAAAAAAAAGAATAATTGTACATCTACATCTGATTATCTTTTGAAATCAATACGCTTTGAGAAAGCTGCCACAGTCAACTAACATTAAAAAAGTCAAGCATTACATATAACTCAGTCGATTTTCAAATAGAAACTTAAAATTTGACATAGAAGTAGTTGAAACGGGTCTACAGCACTTCTCTGAAGACTAACTGGTTGCATAAGATCTTTGTTTAAAATATTGCAATTGGTTATGTAGCGTCAACTGCCTGTTTGTTAGCAATATCTCATGGATGCACATATTTGGTGACATTTTAAGAAAATAGATGTGCATCTACAATTGATAAACTTGTGGAGTCCATCTAATTCAAAATGGCCACAAAAGTTATTAAAATCGCAATAACAGTCAGTTTTACAGATTTTGAGTTATAATTTGATGTTGTTGTAACTGGGTCATTCACAATGCACAAAGACATTTTGCAATATGGCATGAGATGACAAAGTTTTCAAGGTTTTGACCATAACGGCTCATTTCTTATCACAAGATAATCTTAGGATAAAACATTGGTATGTATGAGAAGCAGCTGGTGATATGTGTTCCTTCATAGAATGCTCGGTCTTTATTTAACGCTGACACATTTCCATTCATGCAGACATACCGGTGCAAGAGTATTCGTCCACTCTGATGAAACCTGGTAGACAATCACAACGATAGCTGCCGGGCAGGTTTACGCACATCGTGTTGGACTGGCAGTAATGCATCTGCGTGGCACACTCATCAATATCTGAGGAAAAACAGAGCAGAAGTAGGAGATTATTAACTCCCTGACAGTTCTTTAAAGACAAACTCACTCCTTGAGCGACTGTATAAAGATGATGAATGAGGCTCATTGGACTGCATTATCTATGCTGCTCTAATCACATTCCAGCAGGAGGGTCTCAGAGCATCATGTTTCTTGGGGTTGTGTCATTAGACAGCTAGTGTGCGAATTATTCAGTGATCATCAGGAGGGTTGACTATTTTTCCACTTGAGGGCAGTCCTACTTAAAACRGACGCGTTTCTGGCTGACGTCTTCCAGGATTTTCTTTGTTTTTAAAGCATTTAAGTCATCTCTGCTATACAGGTTACAATAAATTGCATCGAGTCTACCATGATACAACATATTCTGGAACAAAACAGCATTTCAACTTCCAAGAACAGAGAGGCACAAAGTTCCAAGCAACAGYATCAACAAGAGAAAAGGGGAGATCTTGTGGCATTGTTGCATTGTAAGGCCCGACCCAGCCACAGCTGGCCTGGCCTTATTCTACCCGGGACCTGGTTGTATTTGTTTTGAGCAGAATCATCATATCAAAAATGCAAATTGTATTTTATTTTATTTGTGACACAACAACAGACGATGTGTAGCTCAAGCGAGAGGTACTGTAGGCTGTACTGGACCATTCAGCCTTAAGATGTTGAAGACAACAGAGAACGGTAACTAATGGTAGCTAATGTTAGCTTGCTGTTGCTTGTTAGATTGCTACAGTTGTTTTATATTTTGAACTTGTGTGAAAAATCATTAAAGTTATTGCAAATGGTTCTAGTAAAGTTAATCTCATCTATGGGATGTGATGCCCCCCGTACARTGAACTAATCGATGGAAAACAGCAGCTGTAGTCAAACTGGGTCCAGCAGTCTAGCTTGAGAAAAAAAAAAAAAAAAAAACATAGGTCTTTGGGTTCCTGAAATCAGCGGGAATTGGGCCTTGACAGCTAATGTAAATATGCAGAAAACAGGTTAACACCAGGTCTTACAATGCAACAAAACCATTGGTTTCAATACAACGTATATGTAGGTCAATAAAATATGGCATAAGAAGTCAAACCCTCCCTATTCCCCCTATATTATAAACAATTTGCACAACTCAAATCAATCCCAAAGAACAGTCAGTTTACAGATCATTTTTTCAGGAACCCTGCCTCTAAAAAAAACAAAACAAAACAAAACAAAACAAAAAATGGAAAAGAAGGAACTGCCTAACAAAACAGAAATTATAAAACAGCTTAAAGAAAGAAGGTAGAAAAAGAACAACCACTGACAAAACATTGATAAGAAAAATAACGTGACCTCAGAGAGATCATCATCTCCACTAACATCCATAATGCACAGCTAATGTCAAGATAAATTACACCTTCTCTTTACGCACAGATGTCCTCTTCTTCTAATGTAGCTTGAAAGACAATGTACGGGCATTACAACATGTGGCTCAGAAAAGCATTAGCTAGAGCTGCATGATTGCTGATGAAATGGGATGTGAAACACACCGGGGAGGTGTTACGCAAACGGGCTTGGGATTCTACGCACGTGCACGTGTATTTTCCACAGTTTAGAGCCCTTCTACGCGCTGCAGAAAACCAGATTCCTGAGGCTAACAGGTCTTTCTACCACTTAAGGGACACGGCATGCCACACTTAAGGGAAAGAGAGAGTGTAAGGAGAAATTTCCATATCTTCTCTTTGGATAAATACGTTTTAGCCTCGAGGTGTTCGGCTCATACTTTGCCTTTCCAGCAGAATGAATGTGGATGAAGTATGTAATTGACTTATATGCAATACCAGAAGGGTTTTTTTTTTTTTTTTGGTAAATTTCATCCTTAGTAAGCATACAGGCAGCATGCTGAATTGCGAGGGGAAAAAAAAGAAAAAAATGATCGTGTACTTAGGTGTACAAAGCCTTGATAGCCTTGAGCATAAAAGCCATTGATCTGCTACATCAAAAAAATATGAAACTTATTTGAGTGCTTTGAGGCTGCAAAGCAGTACCTGAATCCAATTTTCATCCTGTTCAGAAGCACTACTCCTCCCTAAAAGCCACTCATTTGATCACCCTTTATTGGGGAAATGCACCAAAGCCTCGTTCGAGGGTGATGGCAGTCGGCCCGAGATGTCGCCGACTTCCAGCCTCAATCATTCAAAGTGGAGAGCTCACCACTTCTGTCAGCTTTCATTAGAAGTGAGAAAAGCATCCAGTCAGAGGCATGGCGAGGCTTTTTGATCTCCGTTGTTCCAAGGTTCTTCTCTTTCGTGTAAGTAACATTGCATGTCGTGTGTGTGTGTGTGTGTGTGTGTGTGTGTGTGTGTGTGTGTGTGTGTGTGT